TTTTTCACTTTTGGTGACATTTGAGTTTTAAATATTTTTATGGAATAAAAGTTGTGGTACTTTGTTAAAAGGAGTTTCAGGAAAGTAGCTCTAGGCAGAAGAATTGAGGGAGTAAGGGTCTTTCCTCTTTCCAATCACTCTAAATAAGTTCTCACTGGGAAGTTTCAAAGGGTCACAGAAGGTTGAAAATGAGGAGCCTAGCACAAATGTCTATAAGCTATTTGGATATTCATGAGGATGGACCACCCATGAATTCTATTTTCCTGTTCCCTTGAAATTTGTATATAAAGTTGCAAAAGAAAACCTTTTAGTTTTGGTTTTAAAGCTAAGATTGATAGAACTGTAGGGGGAGGAAGGAGGAAGAGGAGGACCAGTGGCAGTTGAAAAGATAAGAAGTATAAAATATAAATAACCTTTATTTTGGGAATGTGGGGAGAGACACCCCTGACCCCCTGGGGCGTGGCATCTCCACCCCGGGGCCATCGATCTCTCTGTGGAACACGTGGAGTGAGGCACATAAGTAGCCTTGGCTTGGGGTGGAATCCAAGGGGGCATTAGGGATGCACAGGTAGCCCAGTGGTCTTAGTTTGGTGCCAGAGGCAATTCCTAAGGGTGTGGGAGATAGGAGCTCCTTGGCTTTACCGGCTACAGTATCTGGCCTGGGCCAAAACCCTTTCATATCCCATCTTATGATTATTATGAAAAGGGGCGAAGATTTCTCTCTTTAACTACTTCCTGCTGGCTGAGGGCACTGTACTGGAGTCTAGGGGAGTTGACGGGATGATGGTTGATGTCTAGGTAGAAGCTGGTGTCAGGTGTTTTAGCTAGGACAACTTCACTGGTGAATGCACGTATGCTAGACTGAAAAAACAAAGAGACAAGATGTTATGAGGAGACATGGCACTGTCATATTTAAGGACCCAGGTGAGGTAGGAGGAAAGGTGTCTTTGATTTAGACATGTTATTCTATCAGGATGATGTTGAGGTAGGAACATTTCCACGGCAAGGGAGAATTCTGAAAAATTAAATGTGGGATTAGGAGGAGTGAAGTTATGAGAGCTTATTCCCCCGTATGAAAGCATAAAAGTTAAAAGGTAGGTAGGTAAGGCTTGTCTCTGGTATATATGACATTGGAGTCTGTAGGCAATACTGTTAAAGAGTCCTGCTGTAAAATTGATCATTAATAGCATGTAGGAAATTAGGAACCAAAGTGGATAACAAAACATGACAACCTGTAAGTCGCGGCTGTGAGGCCTTGGTAAGGCAGAGATGAGTAGGAAAAGGATGTTCAGATTTAGGGCCCAAGTGATGTGAAACCAGGATGGCAGTCTAGCAAGTTAGTCCTTGGAATGATTTGGTGTAACAGAACTTTACCTAGTATATCAGTAGTTTCCCTGGTTGTGAGAAAGGCTTTTATGTATCCTGAAAAAGTATAAACAAAGTGAGAAGACAAAATGTATCTGTCAGCCTGTATAAACGGGAATAAAAGCATTTTAAGATTTAGGACTGGGACCTGCACAAAAATAAGCCCTGTTTGTAACTGGTATAGGTTGACCTTTAATACTCCATCAGACATTGAGGATTTATTATAGTAGTCTGAAAACTCAGTAAGAACTCTGTATATATGGCCTCTCTGTCCATGAATATAGAGAATGTCTTACCTTGAGAGTTTTAGTGGAACTTGGACTCTGAGACAGACACCCACAAAGGCGGCTGTTGTTGGCCCTTAGCTCCTCTCAGTCTTTGGCAGCAATTTTTGTCAGTGATGAATCTGGCAGTGTCTTGTGAGGGCTAGAAGTTAGGATGGCCCACCTACTCTCTGGTGGCCAGGACAGCCCAGCAGCCCTGGAGTAAGGTCTCAAAGAATGCCAGGATGGGGCATTTTTTGCCCAATGTCTTCTCCTGCATTTGAGTGTGGTTCATGAGGGGGGGCAGGTAGCTCTACCTTGTGTAGATTTGTCTGTCTCAGAACTGCAAGTGTTATTTAAAATATGAAAAACCATATCAAGGTCTCTGTGGAGCTTTTTTATTTATTTATTTATTTATTTATTTATTTATTTTATTTAAAGAAAAGGAAACGAAAAAAGAAAAAAAATACATGGAGATAAAAAAAAGGGTAGAAATAATACTAAATTACAGACAAACAAAAGGTAAGAAATTGCCTGTTGATAAGTTACAAATTGTCATCTTCGAAATGGCTGTTCAGGTTATAGAATTAAAGTATTTAGAATGACATTCAAAAAAGTGACCCTACAAACCATTCTGCTCTATGGTCAAACAAAGGTTCCGTAATATGATTATCAGTCCCACCTATTTGTTTTACATCTCTAAGAGGGTAAGGTTAACCATATCAAAACAGAACAGAACATTTAAAAAAAAATAAAAAATAAAAAACAATTTAAAGAAATACAGATTTCAAAGCAAGTCCACTGGAGATCTACCTTATCTAACTGTCTCTAGCTTCTTACAAATAGTTGTCCCTAACTTCACCCACTTTATATACTTATTGCATATTATAGAACTAATCAAATCATTACAGGATGATGGAGTCTTTTTAGGTCCTCAAGTTCCAAAGTAGGGAAGACAATAGCAACTACCATCGCATCTCTCATTCTCTTTGTGATAGCCATCCCCATCTCTGCATATGCTGAAGTTGAGCTGAAGAAACCAGTCCAATGTCATTCTAATCAGCAAGCAATAGATTGCTAGAATTTATATTATAATGCTACAAAATAAGCCTTGGGTTTTTCAGGTCTCTTCCTCAGAGTATTTGTTCCTATCCTCTCTGTATTATAGGGAAAACCAAGTCATAACAAGACAGCAAAACAATTTCCTAGAAAAACATGCAATGGATAAGACTTATAAAACTATAATATAAATGATCTTCCATAGCTACTATGTTTTCTCTTGTTATTTTCAATAGATTTGTCCACAACACTGGCTTATTATAGTTAAACATACTTACACCTATTTTCATAAAAACTTATCTTTGACTGCATTGTAGTATTTGAGAGCTGTTACTGATTCATACCAGTATGGATATCCTTTACATCTTGTCATGCTCAGAGTAGTTTCCTCTACTTTTAGGGTTGATTCTAACACGCATGCCGATTTCAAATAGGATCAGTCAAGGCCAACCAATAGTCTTATGATTCAGATACAATTAAGATCAGTCATAGTAAGACAATGTAAGTAATACAGGATTTCAGCCTAAGTCAATAGGAAAGTAAGGATAGTTACCATGGTTCTAGAGGTCTGTGTCCTCAAAGCTGACATGAGTGGACAGACCAGAACAAATTTAATTCAATCTAAATATGGCACTAGGACTACTGTGTCTTTTAAATCGTTATACACCATTAGCAATGACCTCTGCTTTTTTTTTTTACATATAGTTTCAGAGCTGTCTCTACCAAAGACTAGCTTACCGTCTCTGCCTCATGTCTGCTACTCCACTTTTCTGCTATATTTTGTCCACCTTATTCCCTCATTCCATTGTCTGCCCCGTTCACTGAGGGCTCTCTGCCACTGTAGCTGTAATCCTGATTTCTCTTCCTCTCTTTCTCTGTAATGTCCTTCAGCGCTCTCTGTAGGGTTGGATTGGTGGCCACGAACTCCCACAGTTCCTCCTTGTCTTGAAAGTATCTTATTTCTTCATTAATTTTTAGAGAGAGTTTTGATGGATATATGAACTTTGGTTGTATATTTTTTTCCTTCAGGACTTGGAATATTTCTCCCCACTCCCTTCTTGACTTAAGAGTTTGTGTTGATGTCTGCTGTTATTTTGATAGATTTCCCGTTATAGGTAACCTGCATCTTTTCTCTGGCTGCTTTTAATATTCTGTTTTTTTGGTGGATTTCTGGGATCTCGATTATTATATGCCTAGGCGTAGATCTGTTTTGGTTGTAGGTAGCTGGCGTTCTGCATGCTTCTTTTATCTGGATATCATTCCTTTTGGCTATACGTGGGAAATTTTGCTTTAATATATCTGTGAATATTTTTTGTATTTCATTTTTGGATGTTCCTGCTTCCTCACTCACATTCTTTATTCTTAGGTTATGTATCTTTTTATCATCTTCCAGTTTTAGAATTGCTTCTTTCTGGTTCCTTGTTATTTTTAAGAGGCTTTTTCTTTCACGTTCATAAGCCCTAAATCTCTCTTCAAGTTTCAGAAGGTTGTCTTTAGTTTCTGTCAAGGCATTTTGCCAATATTCAATGGAGTTTTTAGTTTCCTGATATTCTCTTTGGATCTGTTTCATGTATTCTAAGTTATGCTTAAATTCTTCTTCAGATGCTTCTCTTTCTTTTCTGAATTCCTCAGTTCTTCCATCTGTGTTCTTTTGGGCGGGGCTTGTCATTTCTTTAATTAATCTCTTTATATCTTGCCTCACTTGGATCAGGAGTACATCTTTAAATTCCTCTATGAGATCATGTAAGTACTTTTTAATTTCGGCTGATGCTGTGTCGGTTTCTGCCGCCAGGCTAATATGTCTGCACCAGACTCTGTGTTATTGATTTCCCCGTGGTGGCGGGCCAGCTGTTCTCTGGCCAAACCCAGCATCCGCGGGGTTCTCTGTACTCACCAGAGTCCGGTGCAAGTCCTCGTTCCGGGACCGCCGCACACCAAGCTGCCCACTTTTCCCGCACTCCCAGGACAGCGCGGGGCGGTGCACAGCGTGCGCTCCCAGCACAGTGCTGACTGGTCAGATATCTGTGCACTGTTTAAATTTGAAACGCCCGCACTTTGTATGTCCGCTCTGGTGCAGCGGTGCAGACTTGGCTGCTACTTGGAGTCTCGGTCCGTTTCCCGCAGTCCCCAAAAGCAACTCAGCTTTTCGTGCTGGGTCCACGAGTCTGTTTGTTGATTTAAGGGCGCGAGATTTGCAGCCTCCCGTTGTCGGCATTGAAGGTCTCAGCGCTACTTTAAATCCTCCAGCTGTACTGTCTTGGTTAATAAGAATCGCTATCGATTTGTCTGGCCCTCTCCATGCTGTCTTTTTTTAGCTTCGAGTTTGAATTCTCTGGAGAGACTCTTCGCTCGATCCCCTAGCCCGCCGCCATTTTCAGAATCTGGTCTCTGTGGAGCTTTAAGGTCAAGTTTTGCCTTGTTGCTTGAGATCTGGACTACAGTAAAAGGTATCTGTAGAATTAAGTAAGTATGTAGGAGCTTAATATTGGGATTTCAAATTAGAAAGCAGGCTTTATCTGGATGTTACATCACTTTTTATAGGGTGCCACGTGGAATTAACAAAAAAGGCTTTAATGGAAACATTTTGCAGTAAAGGTTTATCAACCTTATGAATAAATTTATTAACTTAGTATATACTCTCAAGTTATTATAACCCAGTTGTTAAACAGGAGATTGGCAACAACACAGTAGAGTAGGAGCAATGAATTTAACAGAGAACATTACCGGTGTGGACAATATTAGAATTTTTAAGAAAACCCTTGTCTTGGAACAGAGCTAGTGGTTTCTAGCAAAAAGGAATTGATAAATATCTCTTAACTTTAGTGGTTATAACAGGAGATTAGTGTAGACTTTAATTGATAAGCAAGGCTGGTGGTAAAATTATCAGGTGGCCACTAACCTTGAATAAATGGTAGAAAATTGTAAGAAAAATAGCCTCGCTTGAGTGGAACTGAATTGTAAAAAAAAAAAAAAAAAAAAATATATATATATATATATATATATATATATATATATGTTTGAGTGGAGCCTCGAGACGTTGTAAATGCGCAGTGTCTAAGGCAATTTGGAACTAAGGCAGTTTGGAGATAGACACATCACTCTTATAGAGAGAGCATAGTTGCGCTTGGGGCAGGGCCGAGATTGTCTGGCATGTAGCACATAGGTAGAACATGAAGAGTGGGCTGGGTGAGTGTCTCGACACAGCATGCAGGGGCGGCCTGAGATGGAACCTGCAGAGTGGGCAGGGCGAGCGCTGGGACACAGCACGCAGGGGCGGGCCAAGATCCCACCCGGAAAGGCGATGGTGGCGCTGGGATGGCGCAGGGAAATACACATTTTAGCTGCAATGGCACACAGGGGTGGGGCTTGGAGGCCTGCAGTGGCGGCGATGGCGGCGGCTGCAGCCTGGTGCTGCTGAGGGAGCTGGCAGCGTGTGGCGCGAAGGGCTGTGGGGGCAGGGGCAGGAGTAGAGGCGGTGGCGGCAGCCCCGGCGGGGGGTGGTGCGTGGCGGCAGAGGCGGTGGGGCTGGGAGGTGCGATGTAGCCTGCGGCCAAGTGTGGCTGTGCTCTCAGAGGCATGCAGCCGGCGGCCGCTCACGGGAGCCACCTGCGGGAGCTGCTCGTGCAACCCATGGTCCAGGATGCTGGGTCGGCACCAGCAAGAATGGGCTGGTGCGGCGGGGAAAGGGTTGGATGTGGAACTGAGTCACCATGTGTAGCTGAAACTGTTTGTTTAAAATCTTATGTGTATCTCAACATTGTTTGGTTTTCTTTTTAATTTCAGCGGCACGGAATGGGTTGGCACGCACGGGAAACAAAGGGACGCTGGCAGCGTGTTGAGAGGGAGCGGAAGCCAGGAGGAAAGGAGGCACTGAGAAAACTCCCAAAGGCTGCAAGGGAAGACGCTGTTATCTCTTTAAGTTCGGGGAGGGGGAGGGATCCTGCAGGAGACAAAGGGACAGGGAAGCTGGCGGGAAGGGACACATTCCCAAAACAAAGATAAGAGTTTTGTAAGCTCCTCTGCAGTGTGATAAGCCATAGATAGGTATGGTTTCTGGCGGAGGCAGGGGGGGGTCAGGAAGTGGTCCCCAAGATAAAATCTGGTGTGGGGGTCTAGCCCATGGGGCTACAATCAGATGAGGCAACGGACCGTGGTCTGTCAGGATTAGAGTCGTCACACTGCATCCCAGACCGATGGGTTGGCTATATGGCTCCAAACTCTTAATAATTGGCCGTCACCAATATTAAGAGTGGACTTTGCGTGGGCCGAGTAACCACTCTGCCCTGAGAACTTAAAAAGCTCTAAAGCGAGGGTCTTTCAGTGTGGGCTGTCCAGAGTAGACATTGGCTTGCCCAGAAAGGCCTTGGTTTGGGCTGTCTAAAAGACGTGAAAGGGTCACGAACCCACGCAAAGTGGGGAGAAAATCCACATGAACCTGGCTCAGTGGCTGTCTCTGGGGAGTTGCTCACCTGTGGTAAATTGGTGGGTGTTGTTTGCGAACCAGCAGCCAAGCTTACAGTTCCTGAATGTAGAAGTGAGGAATTAATGCAGGATGCAGTCTGGTCGGTCCTCAACAGCAGGGGACTCAAAACTGGGAACCAGCCCCAGGAGTCTCTCGCCTGCTGTTCCCGGTCAGGGAACCATCTGATAGAACTGTGGAGGGAAGGAGGAGGAGGACCAGACCAGCGGCAGCTGAAAAGATAAGAAGTATGAAATATAAATAACCTTTATTTTGGGAATGCGGGGAGAGACACCCCCGACCCCCTGGGATGTGGCATCTCCACCCTGGGGACGGCGATCTCTCCGTGGAACATGTGGAGTGAGGCACATAAGTAGCTTAGGCTTGGGGTGGAACCCAAGGGGGCATTAAGGATGCACAGGTAGCCCATTGGTCTTAGTTTGGCACCAGAAGCAATTCCTAAGGGTGGGGGAGATAGGAGCTCCTTGGCTTTACTGGCTACAGTATCCAGCCTGGGCCAAAACCCTTTCAAAGATAAATTTAGAAATCTGATAACAGAACAAATTTTAGAATAATGAGTTTGTGTTTTTGAAGATACTATTAAAATATGGAAAAATATTTGTAAATTTTATCTGTTGGTAAACTCTTTGCCAGAAGATAGGCAGTGTTAGGTGAATAATTATGGGTCTCTGGCTTTCAATTTTTTTCTTGTAGAATCTTTACTGTTATTCAAAACATTCATCTTTACTTTCAGTAGTCTTAATAAAACCGGTAGAAGAAATAAGAAGGTTACAATATTGAGAACAACTATAAGAGGCCTTTGTAGAGGATCCAGTCCTTTTGTGTAGCTGTGTTCATTCATTCAAACCACAAGTGCCTCCTGCCTGTTACATGTGAGGCCTTGTACTGTGCGCAGAAGCAGAACAAATGAAGAGATGCTAGCCAGTGTCCTTGAGCACATCCAAAATAGCAACATCCTGCTGGATCTGCTGAACCCCCCAGGCTAGATTTATTTACTGCTCACATTAGTTGTGTCCTTGACCATGAATTAATCATGGCTTTGTTTCTTAAGAGAAGTGTATATGAAAGCCTTCTGCATGCTTCTGGCCAGGGTGTTGTTTGCATAATGTATCGACTGTGCATATTTAAGCACTTGAGTGAATCATTAATACTCGGTAGAGTTACTGAAACGCAACCCCTGAGAGTATCTTCTACTCGTAATCCGAATTCCTGCCAATTTTTAAAGACTTTCCTGAAAGCAAATGGTTGTTTTTTTTAAATGTCTTTTAAAATTCTTTTAGCCATTGAACTCATAGAAATGATTCTGTTAAACTTTCTAGCCCTAAATGCAGTAAAACATTTTTAAAAGAAATGATGCAATATCTAAAGGAGGAAAAAGTGAACCAGAGGACACCAAAATGTGCTGGCCCAGTATGTTATTAATCAGTAAAAAAATTGAATACAGTTGTTATTAAATGCAATAACTATAAGTACAAGGTATTGTGGTAGTAAGCATAAAATGCAATTATATACAGCAAAATTTCCTAACTGAACTGATTGGCAAAGTCATTGCACCAAATCTTGGTTTGTTTATCTATAAAATGACTTTATTTGCAAGAAGGAAGGAAGAAGGAAGGAAGGAAGGAAGGAAACAAGGAAGGAATGAAAGAAGACTATTAATTTTCCTGGCTTCTCCTTTTAAAGCAGCTGGTACTTTTTAAGAGCATTAATATTAGATTTTATTTTTGTTTACAGTCTAGAGCAGAGGTTAGCAACTCTGCCTTTTAGGACACATCTGGCTTGCTACCTGATTTTATAGTTTTGTGAAACATAGCCACACCCATTTATAAATGTATTGCTCATACCTGTTATTATCCAATAAAGTCAAAGTTAGTAGCTTCAGTGGAGGCTCAGTGCTGCAAAAATTTATCATTTAACTTCAATTTTTCTAATTTTTATTTTTCATACCTGTTTTATAGTGTATCTCAGTTAAGTATAGTAAATAAATATATGATTTATACTAATATTTATGTCTTATAGAATGAATTTTCTCAATATTTTACTAATATAAAGGATATGATCAAAAAATTTAGATGCTCATTAGTCAAGCAGTGTATTTCAAAGTTCACAAAATGATAACCAAAATCCAGCCTACAGAGACCACTTACAATTTCACCAGTCACAATCAGGGAACTTTGGGAAGAAATCTTTATATTCAGTTGTTTGAAAATGCACATTCTCTATTTATGGTTTGGAACAGTACTGCTCAAAGTGTCTTCATGAAGGTCTCGGTTTTGCCATTGTTGTTATCACTGCTCATTTCCAAATAATCATATCCTATATTTTGTAAATACAATAAAAATGAATTGCCTGAAAATTAAAAATACTTTATATTTATAAATTATTATACTTAATAGAGGTTAAAATATTCTGTATCAAATTATCTTAAAGGTATATAAACATTTAGTCTTAATGATCTCTATGTCGTTCAAGAACACAAATGTTTGTAGATGAAGACTGGTTCACTACCATACTTAGAGTAACGAAAATATACAACCTTATGTTCACCCCAAGAAGTGTGTAAATATGCTCATAGCATGATTGATAATAGCTGAAAACTAGAAATTAGTCAACAGTAGCAAAGGCCAGACTCAAATATATATAACCTTTATATCTCCATTAGCATAAAACACTAAAATAATTGATATATAACTAGTTTATATTGTGATATTAGATATATGCTTTTTTCCTCTTGAGCTGAGATATTAGTGACAAACAATGAGCATGATGAGGCCTTGTGAAATGCTACAAAACTTCTTGTCCCTCAGTTTACCTGCTTACCTTGAACATATATTCATTCAGTTCATAAAATCTTATTGAATTGTACATATATGTGGTTATAGGGACTTGCCTGCATGTATTTATAGTTAACAAAAGAGCTAAAAAGTAAACATTTAAAATAATTAAGGCTATTTTGAAGGCGCCTTATTAAACATAAAAATTTATAAAGTTGCACTAGTAAGTCATAGATGTGCAAAGCAGTAAAAATCAGAACAGAGTACTCCAACATACTAATGTGTGATATAGTTACACAGTTACAACATTTCTTTTTTTTTTTTTTTTTTTTTTTTTGGTACCAGTTGTGATCGGTTGGGATTGAACTCAGAACCTTGCACTTACATGCCAGGCAGGTGCTTATGCCACTGAGCTAAATTCCTGGCCCCAACACAACATTCCAAATCAATGCAGAAGAGATGAGCTACTCATTAAATGATACTGAAGGACTGATTTTCCATCAGGACAAAAAATTGGTTCGGTAAGTTAAGGTATATGTGAGAAAAAAACTCTCTTCACAAAATTTACAGAAAAGAGTAAGAAAAAACCTTTTCTTGTCTTTATGGCTTAGGAAGGCATTCTAAAGCAAAATTCTAAAATGCCAACAACAAAATGAAAATAGTTTATTAATAGCACAATTAAGGTATTCTCCACACTAAAGACAACATTAAAAGGAAGAAACAGACTGAAGAAATATTTGCAAAAAAAAAAAAAAAAACACAGCAGCAAAATATCAATGTGCAGGGTTTAAAAAATATTAAAAAGTCTTATTGGTGTAAAAGCATTAGACCAATAAGGAAAATTAAAAAAAATAAGTAAACAAGACACGTATACACAGAACAGCGAGACCTTGGCATAACAAACATATAAAAAGATGTTCAATTTTAAGTTACCAGAAAAGATGAAATTTAAACAAGGTACAACTTCATATGCTTCAAATTGCTGATATACAAGTCTGAAAATTAGGCTGTTGGCAAAAATGTAAAATAATTAAAAGTGTCATATACTTTACTGGTATTGAACTTGAAAGATTTAAATACCTGGAGAAGCAATTTGTCGGTATTTAATAATTTTGAGCAATTTCACTTCTAGTTCTATAGTCCAGGGTGCATCTTCAAATATGGTGCATCAACCTGGAGCTTTCCTGACCTAGGAGCCTGTTAGACTAACAGAATTTCAGGTTTTCCTCTGGTCTACTGATTTTGTATTTTAACAAGATCTGCAGGTGACTTATAAGTACATTACAGGCTAAAGGCCCTGACCTGAAGAATTTCTGATTCAAGAACACAGGAAATATGTACAAGATTCTTTACTGTAGTACTAGTAATTTAGAGAAAAATGATTGAGGACCTCAATGTCCATTATCATGTATATTCTTTAGAGAGACAGTATCAACAGGAGTAGATAGATAGATCGATAGATAGATGATAGATAGATGATAGATAGATAGATAGATAGATAGATAGATAGATAGATAGGTGACAGATAGATATGTAACTATAAGAATTGGTTCACATGATTGTTAGGGCAGAGAAGTCTCCCAGCAAGCATCCTGCAAGCCAGAAAACCAGAGAAGCTGCTACTGAGCCTCAGGCAAAGTCTGAGGGTCTCGTACCTGGGAAGCTAATAGTCTAATTTTCCACCAGACTGAAAACTTGAGAAGAAAGGGAGGTTTCTTATGCAAGTCCTGGTGTCCAGAAGCAGAAGAACTTAAAGTCTAATCTCCAAAGGTAGAGAAAAGGGCATTTCAGCTGCAGAAGATACACAGAAAATTCACATTTCCTCTATTTGTTTTATCTGAGCACATTGAAGACAACTCTTTTTTTTAATCAGCCCACTGATTAAAATTTTAGTGTCATCTAGCAGCACACTCACAAATATATCCAGAAATAATGTTTTACCAGTTACCCAAATATCCCTCAATTTAGTCAAGTTGACACCTAAAATTAACTATCATAATGAAAACAAAAAAAAATCAATTGTGTCATATTTTTCCAATGAAATGCTACATAACAAGGTCTAGTCACTACATTCCAAGAGCCAAATTTGGCCCATTATTGGTTTTGCAGGCAAGATTTAATAGAAAACAGCCATATCTGCCCACTATGACTGGTTCCACACTATATTAGTAGAGTTAAGTAGATGCAACAGAATCTACAGGACCCTTTACTATCTATCTCTCTTTGGAAAAAGTGTCCTGTCCCCTGCTATGTAGAACTACCTGTGTGGACCAGAATGAAAACATCATAAAACTTAATATTGTGAGGAAAGACTAATAAACACATTATGAAATTTCCCCATGGAACTTGAAAATGTGTAATAGCAAAAACATACAAGCATATAACAACAAAACACTATATAGTTTATAGACATGGGCATCCTATTTTAAAGGTAATTTATATCTATTTAAGTGTATATGTATGTGTATACATGTGTGCGTATGTATAAAAACAAACGTGTAGGTTGCATACTAAATTCACCTTTGAGAAAAGAATGATAATGGGAACATGAACATAACTAACATTTTTCCCTTAAAATAAAATATTCTGTAATACTGCTGATGTTAAAACTTTGCAATGGGCACATGAACCTTAGCTATGTACTTTGTCTTAGTCATCTTTCTCATTGTTGAGACAAAATACCAGAAACCTAAAGTTAAAAGAAAAAATGTTTATTTGGTACAGTTTGTAGAGGTTTCGGTTCATAGTCAGCTGGCTCTAAGACAGGGTGGCATTGCAGAAGGGCATTGCAGAAGAGAAACAGTTCATGGAAGGCAGAAGCAGAAGTCAGCAAGACAGCATGCTACAGGTGATAAACAGTGGCCCTCTTTCTGTCCCTTACATTTTATGCAGAGTAGAGCTTCCTTAATCCTACCTAGAACTGTGCCAAACCAATCAGTGGAGTGATTTAATAATCACACACCTTTCATCACATACTGTAGATACAACCATCTCTGGAAAAGCCCCACCCCTCACTGCACAGGGCATTGGGGAGATGTCTAGATGCAAACCATTGCACGCCCTTTATTTCCTATTTGACGTATCTCATAATTACCATAAACATTATGGTAAAAGTTAGCTCACTCAAACCCTTTTGATTTTCCTGACCTCATTTTCATCATCTGTTTTTCACCCTCTTAAAGCAAACACTTTGGCAGCAAGCAGCAGCCTGGTGTGGCAGGTTAGGAAGAGTGGCTAGAGTGAGGAGCCCCTCTCCTACCATCCCAGCCTGCATGGCATTTTCCCCTGGCCAGCCCCGGGTCTGCATATTCTGCGCCCTGGCACTGGCCACTCAGAAACTGCAGCCTTGTTATGTGTATTGTTTCCCTCCGCACTGAGCGGGAATGGCACCAGCCAAGCAAGCAGTTAACCTGATTGTAGATAAGGCCAGCGCCCCAAGACAGAAGGAAAACCCTGGAGAGTTGTCAGCTCCAAGGAGAAATGACAGACCTCACCCACAACACTTGTCCCAAAAATAGCCCATGCAGAAAACTGTGATTTGCTGGATTTCGTGACTTCAGATCCTAGAAAAATACCATTCAAAAACCAGAGTAAATCTTTTAATTGACTCAATTTTCCCCTCTTTTTGCACTTTCCTTCATTTTTTGGGGTGGGGATCTTGGAGTTTAGTCTATTTTTTTGCTTTTCTTTTTACTTCATTCTTCTTATTTTTTCTGTGTTTTGCTATTTTTCTTTTTTATTCTTTATCTTGTTTTTTAAAATTGTTATCTAATTGTCATGGTTTATGCGATGGCCCCCAGACTTCATGCGTTTGCATTATGCACTTGTGATTGGTTCATTGTCTAGTGCTTGGATTGATGGTGTCAGTGCTACACGCTCACAGGGGTGGAGCCAGGATGTGATGTAATGGCAGGAAGAACGTGTATCTCACTCTCTTGCCAGTTTCTGCCTTGCTGCTTGCAGCCGCCATGAACCGCAGCCCTGCCATGCCGCAGTTCTGTCTTGGAGCCAACTGAGTATGGACTGAAACCTCCAAAAACTGTAAGAAATAAACCTTTCCTTTCCCAACTTTGGGCGTCAGGTATTTTGTCTCGGCGACAAGTAAAACCTAACCTATTAGACACTAATACTACTAGATTCCTTTTCCTAAGTAGGATCCATTATCTCACTCTTCTCTCCTCCTTCTCTTCCACTGATTAGTTTTTCAACTTTTACTTTTCTCTATCTCCTGTTTTTTTTTTTTTTTTTATTGGTTCCAGGGATCAAACTCACAACCACACACTTGCAAGGCAGGCGCTTATGCCACTGAGCTAAATCCACATCTCCTGTATTTTAATTAGTAAAATGATTAAGATATATGAAACTTCTTGCTGTTCTACTTTTAATGCAGATAAAATTGTTCCATTTAGGATATTTACCACAGATTAATATTTGGTTGTCTTAGTGTTTATAGTGTAATTACAGTGCCATTTTCTATGGGTAAAGATGGGACATGATTGCTACTTAGGGTGTGTAGGCATTTAGTTTGTCTTTGATGCTATTATTGTTGCTGACATTTTTTACTATAGTCAAAATTACATAATTTTTACAATTAATTAATTTTCTCTGCCAACATCTGGATAGTTTTATTCACTAACAATACTGTGGTCTATTCCTGGAGAACTCAGTACTAGGCAAAATACACTGAAGCTGCCCCATGCAAATAATTGGAGGTGGTGGGATACAAGGATAGAGCTAAAGGCCTGGAATTAGCTATATCTAGAGTGCATTACTGAAAAGCAGATATTAATTAATGAGGTCTTTGCAGTAATAACAAAGCCTTCAACTATAACCAACACATAATCCTCAGCACAAACAAGCAAGTAAGAAGTAAAAACATAAGAATGACAAGATTAGAGAAAAAAAGGTTCCCTAAATTTTCAATTTCACAGAGCTCACCTACAGGGCATAGTGGTGGAGGAAAAAAGTCCACAGCCCAATTATTGAAAAATATAATCAAGATGATTTCAAAAAGGACCAATAATGTCTGAGTATAAATAAAATATAACTAATCAGATAACAGACATTAAAAAAATAAAGTCTAAGATTTTATCACTAATAAAAAGCTAGCTGACCTAAACCAAATGAATGCCTAACAGAGAAAAGAATTAGAGTTCATCAAAAGGTAGCAAACAGAAATTGGGAAGTTTAAAAATTCTTTCCAAGATCTGAGCAGCAGAAGTGACCAAGGAGAGGAAAGAATGTCAGAACTAGAAGATAGGGCATGTATGAGAGACTAATTAATAAGCGATACTTAAAATACACTAAGAGTATATGAAAAATAATCATACAGGTGCTAGATGACAAAATAAATCTAATGTAAGATTAATTGTAATTGGGGGAAAATCAGAAGACAGTACACATGGCATTTAAAAACTTGTTTACTGAGATAGAGGGAAAAGCTTTCCAAATACAAGAAGAGAATCTAACATATAAGTCAGTGAGACATACAGAAATATACATTTCCAAAATTAGAGAAAAAAAAAAACTCTTCACAATAGATCATCATCAAAATTTGAAAATTCAATACAAGAACAAAATCTTAAGATTAAGCTGTTAGAGAAAAGTAACAAATCACTTCAATAGATAAACCCATTAGAATTACAGCAGAATTTTCAACACAACCCTTAAAGACTAGTACTGCTTACAGTTTGGTTTTTAAAGTCCTAAAAAAAACCACAAAGCCCTTCTAACTTAAACTGATATATCCTGGAAAACCATCTTACAAAATTGATTGAGAAATAAAGCATTTTCATGATAAAGAGCACCTAAAGAAATCCATGACTAACAGACCAGGACTCTAAAAAATTCTAAAGGATATCCTACAAAGAAACAATAAATTGAAAAATCCTAAAATGTTGAGTACAACTGATATACTGAGCAGTTTAATAGAAGAGAAAAAAGAAATTAGGAACAAGAAAATAAAGCAATGACACAAATCAATACCTTTCAGTAATAACTCTTAATTAAATGGTCTCTATGTTCCAATCAAAAGACAGAAACTGGCAGAAAGAGTCAAGAAACAAACCTGGTTTTGCACTATATACAAGAAGCAATTGATTCAAAAGAAATTCATAGAATAAAAATCAAAGAAAAACAATGTTTCATGCAATAGGAACCCCCAAATAAGGATTGTCTGTCCTGTTTTTCAGACAAAGTGAACTTCAAGCCAAAAACCTGATCAGAAAATGTAAAGAAAGTTGCTACATATTGGTTAAAGGACAAATTCAACAAAGAGCGATGATAATTATTAGCATATATGATTGAAAAACAGCACAACCTACCTTATAAAGCAAGTGATATTGGACATAAAAGTTCATATAAGCATAAACACAATTATAGTGGGGAATATCAGTGTCTCACTGCCAGAAATAGACAGCTCAGGCAGACAAAAATAAACAAAGACATGTGATAGATAAATAAGACATTCTCAGTAATGAGCCTAATAGACATCTCCAGAGTATTCTATCCAACCACACCAGTATGCACATTCTTCTCAGCAGAGTGTGGAACTCTATCCAAAATAGATCACATATTAGCTAATAAAACATGCTTAAGTAAATGCAAAAGAATCAAAATTATAGCATATATTGTAGCAAATCATAGCACAATGAAACTAGAACTCAGTGAAAAAAACAATCATAGAAATTATGCAAATGCATGGAAATTAAACATTACACTCTTGAATAATCAATGCGTAGAAGAAGAAATTAAAGAAGAAATAAAATAATTTCTACACTTAAGTACTAATGCCAGTAAAACATACCAGACCCAACAAAAGCTGCTTTAAAAAGAGAATTTATAGCTGTGAATGACCACATATGAAAAGCAGGGAGCCCAAATAAATGGCCTAATGATGTACTTCCAAGGCCTAAAAAAGCAAGAACAGTGCGAATACAAAGCTGGTGAAAGAAGAGAGATTGTAAAGATCAAAGCATAAATCAGTAAAATGGAGACCAAAAAACAAACCAGAAAATCAACAAGTGAAACAGGTGGTTCTTTGAACAAAAATAAAAATATAGAAATAGAAAAATATAGAAAAATAAAAATATAGAAATCCTCAGCCAATTTTGCCAAAGAAAGGAAGCACCCAAGTCAGTGCAATTAGAAATCAAAATGTGAAATTATACTGGACACTGCTGAAATCCAAAACATCATTAACAACCATTTTGAAAACCTATTTACCAATAAATTGGAGAATTCAGAAGAAATGGATAGATTTCTAGATATATATGAATTATCAGAACTGAACTTAGAAGATATAAAAACCCCAAATAATCTGATAATAGGCAATTAAATAGAAGCAGTAATAAAACACCTACCAACCAAGAAAAGCATAGGAACGGATGGATTCACTGTAAATTCTATACGAACTTCAGGAAAGACTTAATGTCAATACTGCTCAAATGTTTTAATGAAATTAGGAGTGAGAAAATACTCCAAAATTATTCCTGGAAGTTACCATTACTTAATTTCAGAAGCAGAAAAAAGATCCAACCACAGAAGAAATCCTCAACAACATACTGGCAAGCAGAGAACAACTCATTAAAAAGAGCTTACATCGTGACCAAGCAGGCTTCATTTGAGGGATGCAAGAATGATTCAAGATACACCAACCAATAAGTAACACATCACATAAACAGAAGGGTGAGAGTCATATGATCATCCCAATATATGCAGAAAAAGTCTTTGAAGAACTCCTACAACCATTCATAAGAAAGAAACTTCAAACAATATGCATAGAAGGACTTTATCCTAGTATCATAAAAGCCTTTTATGACAAACGTTCTGCCAACATCATATTATTCAACTTTTCTTCCAAAATCAGGAACAAGTTCAGAATGACTCCTATTCAGCATTGTACTGAAAACATTAGCCAAAGCAACCAGACAAGAGGAAGAAACTAAAAAGTTACATATATGAAAGAAATCAAATTATAATTATTTGCAGATTATATGATCCTCTCCATAGAAGATCCAAAAATTCCACCAAGAACACCTAGAATTTATAATCAAATTCACCAATGTAGTAAAAATAGAAAATCAACACGAAAAATCAATAATGTTCTTGTATGCAAAAAATGAACTCACTGCGAAAGAAATTAGGAAAATAATACTGTTCCCAATAGTATCAAGGCAAATTAAATACTTAGGAGTTAATATAGGGAAGTGAAAGACATCTACAGTGGAAAAACAGAAGTCTGGAAAAGGGGATTGAAGAGGACATTAGAAAATGCTCTGTTGTTAAATAGGCAGAACAAGTGAAGTCAACTTGGTCACAGTTTCAAAACTGATACACATATTTAATGCAACCCCAATCACAATATCAAAAGTATTCTTCAAAGAACTAGAGAAAATCCTAATTTATTCTAAAATTCATGTAGAAACTGAAGAGACCCAGGTTAGCAAAAGTAATCTTGGGTAAGAAGAACAGCACGGGAACTATCACAATCCTGGGCTTAAAACTATATTACAAAGCTACAGTGATGAAAACAGTATAGTAATGGCACAAAAACAGATCTGTCGATTAGTGGAGCAGAATAGAGGATGCATTAATAGCCTCAGCCACATTTAGTTCTTTGACATTTCACAAGGGTTCTGAAAGCATACATTGGAGGAAAGATAACTTCTTTCATAAAAGGTGATAAATTAACAATCTACATGTAGAATAAGTATTCTAGACCCATATCTCTCATCATGCACTAAACTAAAGTCAAAATGTATCAAAGCTCTGAATGTTAAGAAGAAACTAATCTCCTGGAAGAATAAATAAGTACAATGCTCAAAGACATAGGCAAGGACTTTCAGAACACAACCCCAATGGCACAAGAAATAATACCAAGAGTCAACATATGGGATCATACCAAATTAAAAATCTACCCAGTAAAAGGAACAATCAACACAATGAAGAGACAACTTACAAACTGGGAAAACATTTGCCAGCTGTTCCTCAGGGAGAGGACTAATATCTAGAATATTTAAAGAACTCAAAAATATTAGATACATCAAAATAAAAGTTCCAATTAAAAGTCAGGCAACTAAAATGAATACACATTTTTTCAATAGAACAAGTAAAAATGTACATTAAATACATGAGAAATATTCAACATTGCTGGTCATTTGATAAATGCAAATTAAAACAACACTGGGAGTCTATCTTACTCTAGAAAGAATGGTTAGCATCAAGATATCAAATAACAAACTCTGGCAAGCCTGCAGGAAAAGAACATTGTTGGTGAGATGTAAAACATTGAAACCATTATGGAAATCAGTATGAAGACTCTTCAAAACTTAAAAATAGAAATTACATTTGGTGCAGTGATGCTTCTTTTCCATATATTTCCAAAAGAGTCAAAGACATCATATTATGGTAACGTAGAACAGTTCCTAATAACTAAATCTTGGAACTGACTTAATGGGTAAATGAATAATGAAAATGCACTATGTGTACACAATAGCATAATACTCTGCCATAGAGAAAGAAAAACAACCAATTTGCAGGAAAATTACTGCACTTTTAAGTACAATATTAAGTGAAATATATCAGAAGCTTAAATTTCTCAAGGTTTTTTTTTCATATGAGAAACCCAAAATATAAATAAAGAGGAAAATAAAAAGTAAATAGAGAGTAGAGAGAGATTTTGTTCAAATGGAAAGGGGATAAAGATGTGGGAGAAGAAAAGAGAATTAAGATGTATTATTTACAGGTAGCAATTCCCCACAAGAAATATAATTGTTGCGGCTGGGGATTTAGCTCAGCGGCATAAACGCCTGCCTTGCAACACTCTGCACTTTGTAAATTAATTAGACTGCTCTTCAGTTTTGTTTTTAAGACGTAATCATTTGTGGGTGTTTATGGCAGCCCTTATCTCCTTTCTAGAGGTTTCACTTCAGTGCTTTTAAAAGTGAAACTGGCTGGGAAGAGGGCACATTCGCTGTTCACCATTTATCCAACCTAAGGAGATCACATATACAATGACTGGGAGATACTCTTTTGTGATCAGAGCAGAGCATTAGTTCTAGTAACTCTCTCTTACATTAGTCATCTCTTGTTATGCCATGCAGAGGAACCATTCTGAGGATGTCAGTCATTTCTGGAGCCTCAGCTATTCATCAAGTGAATTTGAATAATTTCTTAAATAAATCACCAAAGTATTACACACTTTATTTGGCAAGAATGAAATTCTAGTGCAACTCATTAGAAATATCCTACATGATTCATCTAATGCACCCTGCTGTTTGAACCATCCCTTTCAAGTTTTGTTAATTTTTGTCTTTTCTTGGTCTTTGATGAGTTGTTTCCTCATTTAGTTCCACACTAGGAAACACAAATGTATCTGTATCATTGAAGCAGTTAATTTCCAGAATGGAACTTCTCCAAACACAGGACACCGAATTATCCAGAAGGGTGAAAGATGGCAGAAAAACAGAACAATAGAGGTCCTGAGGTGCTCTCTGGGGAGGTTACAAATATGAAAAATAAAACCATTGTCTCCTTCAGATTTCAGAGATGTAGGAGCTTTAACTGCCTTTTGTGAAGTTCTTCTGTACATATATATGAATAATTTCTGCTTTCTTCTTAAATAAAACATCAGAATTACATATGGTCTGGCAGTATCAACAGAATAGGGACCCTTGGGTTAAGCAGATCCAGTTATATGTTCAGATCTTCTCAAGGCAGTGTTACCTCTCTGAGTATTAATCTCCTAATCTTTGACATAGAATAATGATGAATTAATGTTACTATGAATATTATGTATGATTTCATATATAAATATTACACACACATACATATATGTATTTATATGTATATATGTGGGAGCTGTAGCATAATAGACTTGCAACAATACTGATGACCTCTGCTGATACCAGTATTTTAAATAGAAACATATTATGAAAATATTACTGCAGTGAACCTGAAAACTATTTAAATTTTGGGAAACATACTATAAGAGTATATGACTTTTACTTGTATAATTTAGAGAACCATGGTTATAATGAATGAATACAGTATGTATGGCTCTTGTTACTTAGCAGTATGTGTTTAGACATTGATGCATATATTGCAAGCAGTGGTGATTCACAGAATGTTTCTTGGCAGGTGTATTTTAGGTATTCTCAGTGATCTAGTTTCCTAACTGATAAAGCTTATTAAATGTATTGCTTATTGCCTTTATCATGTATCTGTCAGTTAAGAAAAATAACTTCCACTTGAGAAAAAAGGTGGAAAGATATAGGGGACCATCTTCCCCTCGTTTCTTTCTTTTCACAATTTTTATTTATCATGGCACAACTGTTTCTTCATAATGCCATGACGTTAAACCCTACTTTGCTAAAAATACCATGAGGATGGGCAGAATGTACATGTAGCCTGAGTACAGCGGGGTTCCCAGTACTCCCCACACTTCCCACTGCGCGCACACATTCCAGGCACAGACTGTAGCATTTAGGAACCTGGTTGCCGGCTCTGTTGAGCCACATGCAAGCCAGGGAAGCAGCATGTGCATTTACATCTGCTTCCACCCTTCACATTACTGCCTGAGCTCTGCTGCCTGCTGGATCAGCAGGGGCACTAGGTTCACACAGGAGTGTGAATCTTACAATAAACTGTACTTGTGTACTAGAACCTAGAGGGTTCTAGGCTGTGTGTTCCTGTGAGCATCTAACGCCTAAAAATCTGAGGTGTCAGTGATGCAAGCTCTGTGGAATGTAATTATTATGCATGGCAAACGCATACAAAGAAAAAAGGCAACTAAAAAAGAAAAACAGAGAGAGAGAGAGAGAGAGAGAGAGAGAGAGAGAGAGAGAGAGAGAGAGAGAGAAATTCCTTTCTCTCCAGTTAGTGGAAAAAATGTTCCACTATGTGAATTTAGACCCTGGTGCCTTGCTTATGCAGTTTCATTTCTTTCTTTCTTTCTTTTTTTTTTTTTTTGTCTTTTCTTAACCTGTTCAAGTGCTACCTGGAGTTGTCATTACAGAACAACTTTACTTTGCCTCTTTGCCTAAATGATTAATTTTAATTTTTCCTTTACCATAACATTAGACATCATAGTTCCCACAGTGGAAAGGCGCTTCTACAATATTTGTCATGAAAAGCTGCAGTCCTTCTCCTGACTCTCCTCTTTTCAGGAGTCCAATTGCCCAGATGCAATGGGTATGAATTCTTTCTAGCTTATTCTCCTCCTATTTACTTCCAGTTTTCTAAATCACATGCTTAAATAGCTATTTTAAACTGTCAATTATGCATTCCCTCATTTACTCCCTTAACATCTGTCCTCCATCTTCCTAATACAGTAATGTCCAATTTCTAGTTAAAGTAGCATTTAACATATTATAGCTTTATAATGTTTTTCCTAGAACAGTCATGAATTACTCTTACATATATATATGTAAGAGTATATATATATATATATATATATATATATATATATATATGAGTATATATATATATATATATATATATATATATATATATATTCCCAAATAAATTATCAGGTTCTTTTAAAGGACATCACAGCTATTATGATTTTGTTGCTTGTAAAGTATTCTTTGATTCTAAAAGATTTTTTTCCGCATAGACATAACAGCTTCATCAGGATGACGATGCCCCTCGGTCCTAACGTCTCTGCTTGATTCCATCTGTGTAGGAATACTGCACTGCCTCTGACACTTTTCACTGGCTGCTCTCAGTCTCATGACACAGTTGAAGTCTAGAGATTTTGCTTTATCATTTCTCAGGATTTCTTTCACTTCCCTTATATGTTGCGATTCCCAGGCTTCACATCTTTCTCTCTCTGGGTTTAGTTCATTATTTCCATTGACATATTTCAATAGTTTTCTGGTGAAAAGTGCAATGGAAGCTAGACATTTTGAGCCATTTCACATCTGAATATGCTGTTCTATGTTTACATTTGATTGCTAGTGTATCTGAATAGAGAATTCCACGGTGACTACCACTTTTATTCAGATTTTGTAAGACACTTTTGAATTCGGTCTTCCAGTGTTTCTCTGAGGATCTTTTCTCTCTTTTTCTGGAATTTTGTTTTTTCTGCTCTTACGTTTCAAGGCAATTTAATGAGTTTATTACCAGTTAGAAACAAATTTATTGTTAGCAATAATTGCCTTAAAGTAAAAAAAAAAAAAAAAAGAAGAAGAGCAAAAGCCAGAAGGGAGCCTGGCTGGGATTTCAGGTATGGGCCATCATGCCAGGCTCCCTTCTGGTTTTTGCTTTACTCTTCATCTAGCAGCTCTGATTTCAGAATGTTTCTGCATGAATGTTTGCATATTACCTGTACCCTTCTGTATACGTCATTAGCATTCTTGTTTCTTTGTTCTTGTGAAGTCACTTACCACTCAACCATTAATTTCTTCCTTTAACAGTGTCTTTCCCATTTTTCTTATCTTCCTGGAAATAGCTTACTTTTTTACTTTAAGGCAACTGTTGCTAACAACAAATTTATTTTAACTAGTAATAAACTCATTAAATTGTACATACTAATGGGATGATATAATATTTTGATACATATGTACCTTGTATAATGCTTAATCATTTAAAGTTTCTACAGAGATACTTCTGATGTTTTATGGAAGAACACTTATACCTGAGATATGTTACTAGACTTGTCGTCAGCATGAACACCTGCCCATGGGGTCTTTATGCAGCTTATGTGATCTTGTTATTTATTACCCAGAAGACCTTAGTGCTGTCTTCAGATGTAATAATTTCCCTATACTCTTCTCTACTGTTAGAAAATGTCAAATAAGACCAGGAATCAAGGTCTTTTGTCAACCCAGAAATGAACCCAGCTTCTTTGCTTAAACTGTGATCACATGACTTACCTTTATCACCTTGAACTGATTCTCACCTCTAAAATGTTCCCTTTCCCCAGCTCCTTGATCCCATCAGGCCCTCCAGCTACTTTAGTCCTTCCTGTGCTGGAGTTCACAACCATTATCTCCCTTTACCTCCAGAGTTTTCAAGGGAAAAACAACTTAATACAGGACACGTAATTTATAGAATTATTTTCTAATAGTTACCCAAAGACTCAGCAACATCCTGCATGAGTCCAACTGAAGGCCTAGAGCCCATGACAAAATCTCATGCAAGTCTGTTTCACGGATCTGTTCTGAAAGGCCCAAAGTTTAGTGATAGAAGCTAGAAAGTCTGTTCTAGTGGGATGAAGGATCTGTGCCAGTATGCTGAGGGATCTGCGCTGGAGCCAGGAAGCAATGCTCAAAGTAAGGACCAGGGCTCCTCTGAAAAGCACCACAGCCATCCTCAGCAACAGTGAGGTCACAAGCTCCTCCAATGATAACAGCTGAGTTCATTTCAGGAAACCAGCATCACAAGTTTCTCCAGGAAATTGAACAGCATACCATCTGCCTTTCCAGAGCCAAGAAGTGATGGTCAAGGTAAGGAGCAGAGTTCTCCCAAAGTGAACAAAAGCCATTCTCAGCAACAACAAGGTCCTAAGCTCCCCTGATAATAACAGCCAAGTTCAAACCAGGAAAGAAGCTCAACAACCTCCTCCAGGAGCACCAACAGAAACAGAAGAACCAACAACATAACTTCTTCCTCTCCAGTTTTTCTTTTTATGTTGTTGGCAACAATTCTCAGGGGGACCGTCCTCGACCAGTACTGTGGTGATCCAGTTTAGCTGGTTGTTACAAGTTGACCACCAGTTCTCAATCCGCTATCACCCCTGATCAATTTGATAACCATACAAATGTCCTTAGTCTCTAGTGGTTGATTTGTAAAAAGCTAACCGTGTCTTGGTGTTATGGTTGATACATTGTGGCAATTTGAAAAGTTTAGAAGTTTAACTATGTCACTTAGCAGGGATCCAGGGTTCTTACTTTGTAAACAATTGTTAGCCTGAGCTAGAAAAGGGCATAGAGATTTTGTGACTGATATACCCACTTTTTGTGGGTAGTAGCTGACTTATAGTATAAACAGGAAAAACAGATTGCTCTCTCCCTTCTTGTTCTTGTTGCTTTTGCTGTCTTCTACCAATTTGAAATGTTGCCCCTGTACCAAGCCACCCTGTCTTGGAGCCAGCTAATTATAGACCAAAACCTCCACAAACTGTGAGCTAAATAAACCTTTCTTTCTTTGATTTGGAGTGTTTTGGTATTTTGTGTAAGCACGAAACAGAAAAGTAACCAAGACATTTCATCTATTCAAATTTACATTAATATACAATTCTCATTGCACTTATTTCCATAGCAATAGCAATATATTCAAAGAATGATCAAAATTCAAGAATAAATCCACAATATGTTGACTAATTAACCCGACCACAAACATATATCTAAAAACAACACTAAAATCATATTTAAAGAACTATTACAATCACAGTCCTTGCTTCATATTAACTTTAAACAGGGCCTGGCAATAATAAAAAACAAGGATCTCCTAAAATTCAAATACACTCTTCCCTTCAGGTGAAAGGCCTCATTCATTTTTCCATTGTTCTGTTCTTCTCAACAACCATGCTCTCCTCTGTTTCATCTTTGGAGCCCACAGTTCCACTAAAGCCTTCTCTCTGGCCAAATGTTTCAAATCTCTCTCCCAGCTCTTTGCTCTTATTTTCCAACATGAGTCTAGCCAAAAGCTCTTAACAATAACCATGCAACCAACCCAACAGTAGACTGCACTCAAAGTTTTTGTCACCCAGGTATCTCTAAATAGAAGCAAAATTCAGACCAACTTTCAGCCAAAGCAGTATATATCACCTGGGATCCAGCAGCCAATTCAATCCTTCTCAGTCAAAGCCTCCTGAGCTTCATCTTAACCAGCAGAATTTCCATTAGTACTCTGATTTTCCAGGCTCCAATCAAAGTCTACAATATAGTTTACCTCATACAGGGGCTGCCTTTTTTACCAGCCTGTCAGAAAACTTTCCAAATTAATTCCCAAGGCTCTTAAGCCACATGGCCAGGTAGTGTCACGGCAATGACCCCACTCCTGGTACTAATTTTGTTGTATTATTTATCCCCTAATATGGTTCTAATATAATATAATATAATATAATATAATATAATATAATAATGTTGATAGAGATTTAATACTGATTCTTAAGGATTATTAAACCTGTGTCACAATGTTGAAGTTATGAAATGGTAAGAGTAAGCATCAACAAAAGAAAATTTACTTTCTATCCTGGGGAGGGAATTAGTGCATTTCCTTTTGCATGCAGGATAGTTATAATGTGTTAAGCACAATTACATATATGTCTTTGTATCTGTGGACAGTTTTAAAGAAATGTGTCTGGTTTCCAAGTTGACAAGGAATGGATTGTAGTGGTTGATTGACTGTGTCAACTTGAGAAGTTCAGAAGCTTAACTAAATTGGTGTAGCAATTCTACACTCTAGGGTGCAGAAGATCCACCTTACAGTAGCTTATTACCTGTATGCTATAAAAGGGAAGGATGAAGAACAGATGTGGTTCTGTCCTTCAGAGGAATTCCAGTCTTCACCAGCAACTTGGACGTTGTCTCCTGGCTTCCAGTACAGACTCTTAACCTTCTGCCTTGGATCCCTCAATCTTCTGTCACAGACCCTTTGACCTCCTGACACAGACTTGTACAGGACATTGCAATGAACTCCAGACATTAGATTGACTCCTTCAATCTCCAGACACCCTCTGCACACTTTCTTATCCAACTCTGTGGCTGACCATCTTAAGCCAATATTGTAATTTCTTATACATTTGTATATCTTATATCTGCTTCCTACTAAAATCCTGACTAGTAAACTTTCCATTTCTGAAGTGGAGAGGTTATGAGG